ATATAATGTAGAACGAATATTAAACAACGTTATTTCTACGATACGTATCGTGTCAAATTTTTATTTCTTAAAACGATTCTAAGAAGATCGCACTAGGTACACGTACACAGCGGTTTAATACTCATAATTTATATCTTATTATAATATTAAATAAAGTTTTAGGAATTCAAAATATACAAACATACTTGTTTATATCATTATATTTGTATATATAAAATATATAAGTACGTACAGCAAACACATTATTTTAAATGATTTAATATCATTATGCAATTAGTACTTAGTATAATATTTGATTTGATTCTTTTTTTTGACATTAATTGTAATCGCGAGCTGCAGTTAATGAGATAAGCGTTACGCCTCTTCTTATTGTGAAACACATTGTACAATAGTTTGTCGCCGCGTGACCTTAATGCAACTTAGCATCAGCGCTGTACATCCCCAAGTTTAGTGTTTATAAGTAAGGTATACTGTTTGCTAAATCGCGTGAGTAAATAAACTTGTAATGACGAGCGAATAAGTATATATTATTTTAGATAATAAACACTACAATCATGATTGTGACAATGGTGAAATTATTTATTTATTTTTTTTGCGTTTGATTCGAAATGTGTAATCAGCACTAACAGTATATTTGAAACCTCGGGTCCAAGAGACGACGACGACGACTAATCGAGAGTAAAGAATAATGAAAAAATGTGCGTACATACGACGTGTATGATATTATATTATATTATACATACCCACATCACCTGCAGAGCTTATAACCCGAACTGGGCACATTGACATTTGTCTGAAAGGCGGCCAAAAATTCCTACGCGTTAACAATAATAATAATAATAATATGTGCGTAGTGCGTACAACCCGAGCCAATTGCTGGATAATCGCACGATATATGCATTGTAAAATATGTTGTGCCAAAAGTTTTGGCCTAAACCATTCGATGCTGCGTGAAAACATCCCGAAGACGCGCGATACGTAATACAGTTTTGTATCAACAATGAAACGACTACCAATCAATTTTAAACGATTTTTGTCATACATATTATACCAATAAATTTCTACTGCAAATTATATTTGTTAACTATATAGGTACCTGGATTTTAGATTCTTGAGTATATTGCAGCAACTTTAAGAGCATTACACTTCTAAAGCTTCAGTCATTCATCTTAAAAGATAAAATTTTAATTAAACTGTAACGTTGTGAGATATGCATATTTTACGTGTATTAAAAATATTAATTCTTGCATCACAAACACTCGTCGCATTACACTTTTTTCATTGTTTGGTATGTGGTTTTATAGTTGAATTATCGTCAAAATATTTAATTCAAAATTCTCGAAGTATAGTAACACTCGGAGAATACTAAACCTACACTTTGAAAAATATAAAATGATCGGTTCTTGTAAGTAATAATATTTCAATCGTTTTAACATTCATACTCCGTCTAATAAGTATCAATAAGATAGCGTAGTGCGGTAGTCGCGAACTCGTGTAGTGTAATTATTATAAATACATAATATTTAATAATAAGTGTGCTCGCGCAGGCATTGCGTAACACACGTGTACCTACATTTTACAACATACATAGTTATTGAAACAGTTAAATATATTATATTATAAACGTTTCTCGGGAACGAAAATATGCGTTGTTACTTATTTGGCATATTTACTTGTTACACGCGCGTAATACGGGTGTCGCCGCGTGTAAAAATGTATATTATAATTTAAGTAGGTACAAACAAACAAATGACGAAATAAATTTTTACGATTATCATGCGCACAGCTCGAGGTGGCCGGCACGCAACCGCCGCGTCGAAGGTATGCGTAGAAACAATAATAATTCATTATATTTTATAATAGTTATTATTTTATTACAGTGTATAAACACTCCGGCTTACTTTCGTCCGCTAAATAGCGACATAAAAGATTTTCGTGAGCACAGTCCATAAATTGTAGTCGAGAGCTCATTATTCGGCATAGAGGTCATAATGTAATATATACATTATAAAATTTTATTATAAATCGAAAATTTTGATTTCAAAGCGTATACTATTAGAATAAATCCGATTGTATCATCTTCGTTTTAATAATTTATTGTCTACATGTACCTATGTACTTCCCGGACACGCGTAAGAGGCAGGATGGGATCTATTTTCGTGTGATGATAATAATAATATAGTGCCTGTGATTCGTGCAACATAATATTGTATTATGAACATTATAGTGACGACATTTTGAAGGGCGCTATATATGCTATGAGTGCGCAAATCGTAAAACGCGGTTTTCGCCGCGATTTCTATCGGGTGTGACCCCTACACCCGGCGACCTTAACCTCTGCAAACACCATAATCCCATTTCGACGATGGGTAATAATACGTTGGAAACGTGATTTTTTCTTCTACCTCTTCTTTTACGACTTGCGACGCACGGAAATAATAAGAATCGAAGTAGAAATGAAAAAAATTCAGGTTGAAGATGAGAAGAATAAAACGAATAAATAATGTCCACCCGAAGGTCTTCCGGTTTTAATCTTAAATTATCGAAATATAATAAATTTTTTGCAAACACGATTGCCAACTATGTATAGCTGGTAAATATATAACGACGTAATGTGGCCAAACAAGTTTACATAATATTATATTATATACAGAATACTTCTAAACAATTTTTGCGACTGTATATTTTTAACATAACATTCAAAATTTTTAATTTCCTTTCATTCTTTAAATACGAATATCAATGGAAATCTTGAAATCTAAGCAGGATTAAGGATACCATTTTGTTCAGTTTCGTTGATATGGGTGATTGAATATGAAAATCGATATTATTTTAATACTTTTAGCAATTCGATACCGGTTACCTGTATATCCTTGTATCTGTGTATTTATTTATAATAATACTACAGTATGATTGTAAATTAATTTTAACATAAGTAAAGGGAATGTAATTTGGGGAAAATATTAGAAATACTTTACAAAATAGTTAATTATACACCTCTACAATTATTGAATTATACAAAATAATTATAAATTATTTTGAAATTATTATTATTCATAATAATATCTTTAATACTACTTATTATGTTGTATACTTGTATCATAAATAATGTAGTTAGACAAACTTGGGCTATAGTCATTTCATCTAAATATCAAATTATAATTTGTAATTTTTTTCATAAACCTACAGGCCAAATATTAAATAAAAATATTTTCCTCGTTACTTTGTCGTTACGAAAAATAACTCGTTATCCTACAACCAGAATATTATTATTGTTTTTTTCAACATGCAGTAGTTTTATTGTGCATTACAATTATACTATAGTAGTAATCTATACATTTACTGAATGAGATTAAAACCATCACACGATAATAGTCGTCAAATAATAATATAATAACGGTAGACGAAAATAACCTTAACATTTAAAAAAAATCGTATATTACGTCGCTTATAGTCTTGATGCACAATGCACACTGCACATGCTGTGGTTGAGTGATATATAAATTCATCGTCGGAAACCTTCCACACTCGTTACGTATGCAAAACGGGTGATTATCATTAAACTATTCTTCGACAGATACATACGTCAAACGAAAATAGTAGTCGTCGATACGACAATAATGATGATGGTGATTATTATATTACAGCAGGTACTTATACGATTTTATAATAAATGAACTCGTTGGCCGACAGCCAGTCTGTCTCGCCAGATAGATAATATATTGAAGTCGTGATTATAAGTATAACAAAATATTTATCACATTATATATCATCATTATTACGCCGTTCGTTGTACTCGTGGTTTACGAGCCGTATTATAATATTATCGTTGTTATTAACACGCGCAAGTACATCGCTTCATTACATTTTATAATATAAAATTACCATATAAATATAATATTATAATAGTATGGATTAAATCGACAGTCTCATAATATATTATATGCTATAATATTGCTATACTTATAAATTACAATTTACATATATTGTTTATTTATACTCGTAGAATCTAATTGATATACCTACCTATTATTTTATAATTTTCAGTTAAAAGAATAGTATTCTGATTCTGTTATGTTTTCTATTTTACTCGCGTAAAATACTGGACGCAAATAAGACCCACCATAAAATCATAATATAAGTGGTGTAAATACTATGCGTAGTTAAGTAAGTCATAGCTGCGCGTTTGCCAGTCGGATTTGTCATTAAAAACAACTGCGCGACAACAAGGAATGAAAAACGAATTAATACATTGAGTGCCGCCAATATTCATCCACAAAATCCGAAACGTCATAAAAATCTCATTAAGAACATATACCTGTTGTAATTTTCGTAATCGTATGTCACTGCCTCGCGTCGATTAACCAACAGAGTGGTAGATGACATACGACGTTTTCACTAGAAATATCACAATAAATCTCACCACCGCCATTGCGCAACATCTGTGCTAACGAATAATAATTATAATATTTAATAATATATCACATCCCGGTTCAGAAGTCGATAATTATTGATAAACACTGCGTTGAAACAACTCGTATGGTTACATACATATTATGTATTGCTGCAGCTACAATAATAATAAGGCAATCTGTGTACCGCGGTTATTATTAATATGGTTGAAACGGCGCAGTAAAATTGTAGTATTATTGAAATTTAAAACTTCAACCACAATATAATATCGTTTTACTTTTATGTTATAAATTTATAATATAAACCATGTGCGAGCATCGAAAGTAAAAAAGTAAACTAAATCATAAAACTCAAACTTAGGTATTAATTATCGATGTATGTATATATAGTATCCGATGTATTAACTATATCGTTACCAATTTACACGCGTGACGTTCCAACAATAATAATATACATATTATAACGCGCAATATGTTATATTATAACGTTATTTGCTTAAATATTAAAAATAAAAAAAATAAAATGTTTTTAGTGAAACCGACTCCGTATACGATTGTCGTTTTAATGGTGTGCGTTTTTTTTTCTAGGTTCAGAATACCAGAAGTTCGTCTATACAAAAGCTGTTTCGGTAAGTCCTGTTTAGTTATACGTTACGATAACAACATAATAATATGATATTGTAATAAATTTAACGTAGTAAAATAATGAACCGTAGTCCTCTCGACATAAATAGTAAACATATTCACGGTGCGTACCTATAGAAGTGTATTATATTATTGTACGGTGTATACCACCCGTATGCGCTGTAACACGTATAACATGACATTACATAGCGTTTGATGTCGCGAAAACTGTGTCAAACGACTGGCTCGGTGGGCATACTTCATTACATTTAGGCCGATCAGATCGATTTTTCCGTATTCCCTATACCTATAGTTTTTGTCGCCTCGTCTCCGACCGTCGAGTTCGGCAGTGGCTGTGTACACGACAATATACGTACGTACGGCATAGCCCCGACGCGTCTTTTTAATTCGATAAACACATTATTATTATTATAATATAATGACGCGCGGGTAATATTAATATTATTATCGACGAGAGAGTGTGGGCCACATTAAAGTTGTAAAATTATTGGCGTGATGGCGGGTTGTTGAACCTGACGTGAGCTAGTAGTCTTCTTCTCCCGCGACTCTGCCGCAGCACACTTGCACACACATTGTATGACACACCGCGGCCGATGTGCACAAAGCGTTTGTTCGCGATTATTACAATAGAGTACCGTAATAGCAATATATTATATTATATATAGGCGATTATATCAAATACGCTTAAACTCGTTACTCGTGTTACTTATTATATTAACCCGTTGCGGTAGAGAATAAGCTTTCCGTGCCAAATGCACAGTATCTTCTCCGACGATAATATTGAAAAAATGTCCTTCTTCCGAGGGTGCAGGTTGTCCCAAGTCGCCGCATCCACTAAATTTGGCCGGGAAAATTTCCCCGAACATCTCACCCATGTGCATGTCAACAACTCCATTTTAGGCTGCTGTCGTAGCGATTCGTGCCATGGCCGCTATTTTTCATTTAAATATTTTACCCAGAGTATTACTATACATGCACGTTAGTTCTAGAAACTAGATTAAAAATCGTTGTACATTTCATAGACAGAACCAATAATGAAAGATATTACCTATTGCCTATTGGCAATTAAAATTAACAGTAGATACACATACATTTATATTTTCCACTAGACAATACTTATTGATTGTCTGCACCATATTTTTCGAATTCCGTAATAATATAATCGGTAGACTATAATACAATTTACGTATAATATGTGTACCAATTTTTTGTTATCAATTTCCTCAGTTCACGTGTATCCATTTCACATTTTTAACTACCAGATCGACGAACAAACGTTTTCATTATTTTCGTTTTACATCTGCAGCGGCTATATTATTGCATACTACATTATGTCTACCATAGATCAGTATATTACACAGTATATTAGTAGGTATATAAATAATGGAACGTACTTATTATCCATGTAAACACGTCTTTCACCTTCTGCAATATTATACACTATCATAATAATAATATTATCGGTCAGTGAATAATTTTTATTCTAAAATCTTCTTATGTGCATCCTCTACCTCTCTTCACAACCATCGTCATCGCTGCACACACGTAAATCATAAGTCGCAAATAAATGTTTAATATTTATCATTACCTTTATAATATAATTTCCTTCCGCATCCGATAAATATATACCATGTACCAAAATAATTACATACATATATACTACTTATATACTGCGCAGTGCGTGTATATAAAATAATAACATTATTATAATTTTAAATATTATTTTACTCGAAATAGCCCGACAATGGCGTGTACATTCGTGATTTTCATTTAGTTTTTTATTATAGATCTTCGACGCGTATTTCAATAGTATACCATATTTATGTGTGTGTGCATATTATATTTTATACATACGTAAATAACGCTAGTAAATTCCGAATCGAACAATTAGAAATGACGGACGTTAGACGTTTATTATTATTATTATTATTATTATTATTATAGAATTAATGAGTCCGCACGCGTGTTTGTATACATATATAATATTATAATTCTCTCGAAAATAAAATAATGTGTGCGCGGTCGAGATACATTGTGTTATTATTTTTAACTTTATAAATATACAAATAAACACAAATATATATGTAGGTACAAACATTTTTCTAACTATCATTAATTCTATTACATCGTTACTATGGCAAGGTTAAGCCATGTATAATATATACATTATACAATAGTAATAATATAAATGTATATCATATTAAATATTGTACACGTTTGTGTAGCGACAAACAACGTTAATTGATTCGTCAGAAGTCGGAAATATATAATACAATTAGCAACTACCAACTCTCCCATCGAATACGGTTTAACATAAATAGTTCTATTCGAACAGCTTTTTAGATTAAAACGTTGAAAATTCGAGCGATTTCCATAGACTTCCTATGAAAATATTATACGCGTATTCCTTGATAACATTTAGCTCGTCTTGTTTGGAATCGTTCTCTCCTCCGGGCCCGTCATACACTTATATACAACTACTACAATGCACAGGAGTTGCGCATAAATCGCCAACAGCAAGAGTTTTAATAAGGTCGGGAGTGATATGTTTTCGTTTTGACATTGTGTAATATTTAGACATGCTTGGACGAAAACAAACCCATAGCCGACTCTCATTTCTCGTTAAATATTATTATTATAGATATTTAATATTTACATTATGTGCAACAAACAGGTCGTTTTCTCAAGCGAAAAGAGAAATAAAGTTGTTATAAATAATAAACAAATTTATAAGTTATCGTCAGATTAAAAAAAAAAAATCTATAAATAATAGATTAAGGTAATATTATAATTTTTTGTTTAAAATTATACCGATTACACAATGAATTATCTGAGCTGTGCACTGCACTTGCTGTCTACGTTGGCATTGGGGAATTATCGTTACTAAATTCTACGTAAACATTCGTGGAAACAGACTTTTAAATTCAGAAACCCCAATTGCGAACGAGGTCAGTCTCAGTCAACTGACGGGAAACGATACCGGTCGCCCAAACACATCAGTGTGGGAGCCCGTTGCAGCAGACCACAGTTGACCGTGGTTGCGGTATCGTCGCCTCGGGGTGAGTGTATAATAGTATGCAAAAAAAATTCACAATAACGGTATTACAGCATACAAAAAAAACCTACTCGTATAATTTATATTATTATAGCTGATCTGAGCAATCCGGACCGAATGACGCCACTGCATAATCACAGAATTTCTTCGAATTTTCCGTCAGCAAACGCGTTAGAACTATGTGAAAATAATAAAATATAATTTCAATATAATATACGCGCAAGTAGTTCATTTAACTAATCTATTTTTGTAATATTAAAATTAAAAAAAAAAAATGTTTAAATGATTTAAATATTATCTATTTATTAATTTTACAAAAATATCTATCGTACATTATATCAACCTGTATATTAAATACCTAATAATAATAATATATTATTATTAAACCTATATATTATATTTAGTAATATCGCTATTCGTTAATAGGACGGTTGCCGATTTCCAATTTCAGCGCGTAACTGCAATACACGCGCTTCGCATACTATATCCAACGCTGTTACTGAAAATTGCAATTGCATTTTTTCGGTCACCCACAGCAGCGTTAGAGGTTTATTATACAGCATATACATCTAACGGCTAACAATATGATACTTAATAATACATACAACGATCTAATGTAATAATAATAATAATAATAATAATGACTGACACGCACGAAGGACATATAAAAACGCATCGTTCCGGAAAGCGAGAGAGAGAAAAATCGTGCCACAGATTTGCCGAACTGTTGATATAAAGGACGAATATTGATTTTTGTACTGTATACGCACGGGACCGCCGCGGTCAAATTATGATTTCACGTAACGTCGCGCCCATTAGCCAATGCCTTATATGCAAAATTAACTATTCCATTATTTTTCGATTTTAGAAACTTTCGTTGTCTGTCATACATACCGGAACTTGATAGTAATATGTACGCAAACGCTAAATCGATAAAGTGGAAAAAACTTCCTCAAGGCAGTCGGGTAATTTCGTAAGTTTTCTAGCGAATTCACGTCATCCGGACAATCAGTGCGAGCTAAATATTTACTCAGGAAGGCCACTTCTACGCGATGGCAAGCGAGATAAATCTTTATAGAGGACATATGCGCCTAGATAGGTTATGCGATTCTGAACTTCTGGCTATGTGGCTCGTGTTCGAGGGAATATAGGTGACTAGGTAAATGCGTTATTAGAATCTTTATTGTATAACTACGCAGCTCGTTATTGTTTCTACTGCAATACCGCGTGAAGTCATGTCCGGTGGATTTCCTTGAGGTGATAAACAATTTAGTAATCGCGCTAAAAAGCAAATATGAAATGTATATTATTTACGTATCATTGTTAGAGGTCGTCCAAATTAATTAATTTGGCCTAGTATGGAATATAAAATTTTTTATATAAATATACTGCATAGCAATCTATCCCCCAATGCGGTGATTGCCCAGGCAAATCGGTAGTAGTTCTTAGTGAAATTAATTTTCCATAAGCTTACATAATATATTAATTATATCCAGTTCTCTATTTAATGTGCGTGGCGCAATGTTATTATTCCTTTATTTAAATAAAAACATAAAATAATAATTAGTAATTATTACTATCGTATATTTATTATTATTTAATTTATGGTCGTAAGTAATAGTATAGTGTACACAAGTTTAATATACATTTTTACTCGATTGTCAGATATTAGAGCATCAATGGCCACAACTATAAATTATTTTCTCTGTATACGTATTATAGCATTTTACACGGTTTCCATATGTTAAAGTTTTTTCAGCGTTTCTTATTTTTAGGGAAAGTATATTAAAATATTAATATTATAATTTGACTTTACGTATAAATATGATATTTTGATTAAATTATTTAATAATTACAAGCACATAATTGCTTAATCACTAAAATGTGCCTAAAATTCAGAATAATTAAAATCAATATTCAACAAAACCA